TTCACAAGCACAGTATCAGTATAATTTATAGAAGAAAAAAATATATAAATAGTAATGATTCAAAAGAAAATTGTATCATATGTACAGGTATAAATACATATAGTAATGCCTATTTAACATTTAAATAGTATTGTGATTGATTGGATTGTAGGACGCCATATAATGAAATGAAAAATTTATAAGCCATATATATATATATATATATAAGAAAATGGCAGAGACGACAGACAAAAGAAACGTAGGACAGCAGAAAAAAAGATAAGCAGATGACATAAGAAAAAAAAAGGAAACAGCAGGAGAAGACTGGATGCAAACTTCCATAGAGAGAGACATGGATAGTCAGTATGGACGAGCTGGTTTATGAATATGGATACTGGCGTAATTTATGAGATTTTTATATGGTTTACTGATGGATAATAAACTACTTTATGAATAGCATATATGTAGAATGAAAAATAAATACTGCATGGTCTAAATTGTAAGTTTTACATGTTATAGAGAATTATTTGTTGAGAAAAGGTTTGCGAGCTGAGCCATTGTTCTTTAATTATAATGGTATTATAGTGAATACAAATTTAAGAAGCACAGGTAGTTAAAACAAAAACAAAAATAAAAGGACAATTGATTGTTGTTAAATGTATGAGCATTAAAGTTTTGAAAAGTGTACATGGGTATACTAGATTTAAGTTGAAAGGATCCTATTGAACCTATAACTGTTTTAAGAGACCTTTATATCCAATGCAAATAAAATGAGAGATAATATAAGTTGTGGAAGTAAGGCTATATCTGTCAATTTAATCCCAGGAATATATAAGAAAAGTTACTAGAGGATATAAATGAAAGTTAAGATATAAGAAAGTTAAATATTGTTAACAATAGATTACAGTTTACAGTTAAAAATTACTGTTGTAGATGGTTTTGCCAATTTTATTAATTTCTAGTTAACCTTTGTTAAATCTTGAGATATTGTATCTATTAAGATTTTAATTGGTTGAAAAAAAAAAGAGTATAATCGAAGCGTATAATGCTAAATTAACGAGCATGTAAGAATTGTTGGTATACATGTTGACTCAATTGACTGGAATATGAGATTGGATGTGTTGTATTTAGACCATTGTCACTTTTGACATAACTGTTGAGTTGAAGTAAAATAAGAGTGTTAACTAAGGCTTTTAATAGTAAACTCATCAACATATAAGAATTGATGTTGTCACTTGCATAGCATACGAGAACGGATGTATTAAATAAGTGAGGGTGTTTTAATGTTGAATTGTACAAAATTACAGGTGTAGAGATATTGGAAGTTTATAATAATAACGGTGATGTTGTTTTCAAATATTTGGTTGATATTGATCAGATAAATAAGATTGAATTAAATTTAAAGCGTTGTCTTTGACGACGACGGAAGTTAAAATTTTTATAAGTAATGATCAACGCAATCAAATGCTGGGCATTTGATTCCATAGATTAGTCTGAGCACCTATATGCACTTGTATGTGTGGCTGAACGCCCTTTGGAGAAATCGGATTGACTATTGTACTAACTAAATAGTTTAAATTGAAATTAATCCTTTCAGAATTGATTTTATGTGTCTGTTGTAATTAATGGGAAATTAGAAGAGGTGCTAATTTATAGAACCCAGACACCGTATACAGACACTTTAGAAATATTATGAATAAAGCGCTCGAGGTGTACAAGATAGTTACACTGCAAGATTGTAGTAAGGACGATCACAAGGTAAAATTTGATACACCTCTATGGAAAATAGTCGGTAAATATAAGCGGTGAAGAGTTGTACATAACGTAACGAATAGATCTGAAAGATTAAGGAATGCTAGTGATACAATGATGAGTTACAATCGATGACAAGCTGAATTATGAGCAAAATGGCTAATAGAACGGGCGGTTGATATGACAATGAAAAATGATTTGCAATACTTTGATGAAATTATGAGATTAATATAATAATCATATGACTATGAATACGATTTATGGATTTTAAGGTAAATGATGGTGATTTAGATTTGATGATATACTGATGAGATGATTGCTCTGAGATCGCGGCTGATGGTTCCGTATACGTTAGTTCACGGAGAAAATGGGGATCCGCGTGTGCTCAATGCGACGTACAACGAACGACTCGCTTTTTGTTGATGCTACTCAAGATTTGGTAGATAATAATAGGAGTAGGGTATGTGGTAGTAATATATTGCATGTTCGTTCAGAAATTGGTAGATACTAGATATATATCAACCAGATATATAATTCGAATTTGGTACATAATTAAATTGAATTAACTTATGATTAAATGTTATAAAGTCCTTTAAAGCGTTGGAGAAATAGTAAAATTGAACCAGGAAATCCAGTTCTTAAAGATATGTAATAGAATAAAAAGTAATAGTAAATTTTGATGGGAGTGCATATAACCCATAGTTGAGTTGCAATGTAGAGCACTTGAGGCTGAAGTAAAAATAGCATAGTACCATAAAGAATATGACTAGTTGGAGGCCGTAACTCCTTGCGTGCGCAAGCGGTGAATGCCTCATTGAGAAAATGACCAGTTGTTAAATATTTGATGTGTTTCAGTTGGAGGCCGTAGTTCCTTGTGGCGGCAAGCAGTGGCTGAGTCTAATGAGAATCTGACCAGTTTGAGGCCGTAGCTCCTTGTGTGGGCAAGCGGTGGCTGAGTCTAATGAGAATTTGACCAGTTTGAGGCCGTAGCTCCTTGTGCGGGCAAGCGGTGGCTGAGTCTAATAAAATCCAGATCTGTTGAGACCGTAGTCATAGTGGGCAAGCGGTGACATTTTTTTAATGTTTTGTTTTAACAGGTATTTCACTAATTAGCTAGGCAGCCGTGTTTGCAGAGATGCTGACTAGTACCTGGTGTGAAAAATTAAATGATACAACTTAAGGCGGAAAAATATAACAAAGACTGAATTCATGATGTTGAAATGTAATGTGTAGTTGTCAGTGGCAACTTTCATATTTTAAGTATGTAAAGTATCTCAAACTAAATTTTATATGATTTTAATTTTATTATATTACCCAATGTTAACTGTTATGATAATATCGAATGAGGCCCTTCGATAACGTTGGATGGCCGAAGTGGCTACGAATACCATCGATAAAATATAAAGTGAATAGTAGGCTTACTAAACTCACGTTCGTTTGACGAAAGTTAGTAATTCGTTTTATGGAAATTGCGCAAGGTTTTACAACAAACTCCCAGAGTCTGTACTCAATTTGCCAGAAAAAGAAATCAAATGTGTCATAAAATATTTTCTTTGTAAAAAAAAAAAAAATAGCTTATTATAAAATTGAAAAATTTATAAATGTCATCATTTATAAATCAGTGATTTTTTTTAGAAAATATCTAACTTGAAATTCATAGCGCTGTCAATGTTGTCTGATTGAACGGAGATTAAGTGCGTAGCGGTTTTTATGTTGATTGCCGCACGCCTAATCCTTGTTGTTAAATAAATATAAGTAAAACAATATTTATTTAAAAGAGCAACACACAAGTGTCTAGCTTATTCTTCTTGTGATGAATCTGCGTTCCGAATAAGCGATAGATTCAAAAATCTTGACTACTCAAAAGTGCTTATATTAAGTTTGTTTGAATAAAGATTATTTCTATTTCACATTAATCTGGAACAGTGGGTTTTGGTTTATGTTAAACTGGTGTTGTAAAGAAAATTGAGATCAGTATCTACAATCATTTATAGTTCCCTAAATGTACAGGGTTCAAAGGGTGCAATAGATTACTTGACCAGTGAGCTGATGGTATTGTTACGTAAATCATAACTGAAATTCAATGAATTATGTTATATTAAAATAATTCTCTGGTAAATCAAGAGTATCGTCGAAGTAAAATAGTAGTAGTAGTATTGAGGGTATTAGAACCACTTGAATAATATTGACCTGTTATTTTCTATTGGTGAGGTGAAGGCAGGCAGCGATTTTGTTCTAATTTTATGTCACGAGAATAATACTTTCTCTTTATATTTTTTTCTCTATATATGTAGGTAATTAAGTTTTACCTTTTGTAATGTGATATGTTAAATTTATCCGTTAAAATATTCATGATGAGAAATGTCAAGTTCTATTTTGGAGGTATAAAAAAAATGCAATGTTCATCGGATCGGAAACTTACATTGTGATGGTGATATGTTACAGTCTGACTCATAGAAGTCAATCACCGCCAAATAATTGTTTGTTACTCTAAAAGGTTGTTCATGTTTTTGGGTGATTTGGATTATGTAAATTAATATATGTTATGTTATATTTTGTGCATTCTGAATGCATGCCGAAACTTAGCTCTGTTAGTATTGATTTTAGATTGTAAACCTTTGACAGTATACTAAGATAGTCAATGTTATGAAAGTAATGTGTATCTTTAGTTTATTTAGTTAAGTATTTGTTATATGATCCTGTAGACACTATATCCTTTGATAAGCATGACTACGCTCATCAGTTACCTATGTGTCTGGGCCAGACACTATTGCAGGATGGCCGACTGTTAACTATCGTGTGACGCACCATTAATTAAAAATGGTAAAGTCAATAATCATGTAACCTGAAACGGAACGTCAGAGGCCAGAGCCAAAGTAATCTATGTGACATTGACAAGTGGATGACGGACGATTGAACGGAGGCAGCGGGAGTTTTGGAGCGAAAGTGTTGATATTATTATAAAAACAAATAAGAGATAGATAATTGTGAATATTGTAGGCATTGAGGTGTTTCTCTCCCTGACTAATCGGCATTACGCCTAAGTCGTCAGGATACTAGTGATTTTAAAAATTGTTTGTATCGGTCTGGGTGTTTTCTATATATGTATAATATGTATGTATTAAAAAAAAAAAAAATATCTATGTATTTGTATCAGTTATCTAGTACCCATAACACAAGTTTTAGCTAGCTTAACTTGGGTCTAGATGGCGCTGTGTGAATTGTCCTAAGATTATTATTATTATTATTATTGTTAATTTGTTGCACAGGAGTACAGTAGCCCTGGGTATACGCAAGGTCCAGTTCGCGCCGGACAAGAAGGGCGCCCAGCCGTGCACGGTGGTGCGCAAGGACTTCGTGCTGTCTCCTGGACAACTAGAGCTCGAGCTCACTCTTGACAAACAGGTACATATAATATATCAAGTCAATATAAAAAAAAGGTATAAGCGTAACAGTTAGAAATTCAGCGAATACGACATGTATTATATTAACTCTAAGTGGTACTAGATAGTTGTTCACTACTCATCATCATCATCATCATCATCAAGACCTAAGTGTCCTAAGGAATAGGTATAAAAATCTAAATATATATAACTCAAAGGTGACTGACATAGTGATCTATCAACGCACAGCCCAAACCACTGGACGGATCGGGCTGAAATTTGGCATGCAGGTAGATGTTATGACGTAGGCATCCGCTAAGAAAGGATTTTGATTAATTCTACCCCCAAGGGGATAAAATAGGGGATGAAACTTTGTCAATTTTAAACCGATCGGGCTGAGAGTTTGCATGCATAAAGTTCCTATGACATAGGCATCCTCTAAGAAAGGATTTTGATAAATTCCACCCCTAAGGGGATAAATTAACGCGAGCGAAGCCGCGAGCAAAAGCTAGTTTACAATAAGATACCAAAGGATATGTGGAATTACCCTCAAATAAACTCAAAACATCTGTTAAATCATATTTACTGAGCAAAGTCTATTACTTACTAAACAATTACTTGAATGACGAGCGTGCATGGCAATAGTTGTTCATGCACGGGATTTTCATTTAATGTTAGACACCTATATAAATACCTATACATTGTAAATAAAATGGCTTTAAAAAAAGTAATTAAGTAACCTTGCCAGTTCTCAATTGGATCTATATATCGAACTGGACAGTAGGAAAAAAAATATATGATGTAAAAACTTGACATTCATAAGCGGCTAAAATGTCCTACATGAATAATGATTTTTGAATTTGAATTTAGAATTTTTCCTCTCAAATGTATTCTGTCGCCGGTAGTCGCTATTGCTCTACCACCAATGTGACATGGGGTGCCATAGACTAGCTAAAGGCACAGATATTCATTCTAGAAAAGTAGTCTATAAAATATGGCGCTGCTATCTCCACGCCACGCATAACTTAGTGGCGCCCTCTATCAACTTTCTTACAATAGTAGCAACAACCCACATTTTATTCCTTTACTAAGGCAGTATCTATAGCAAATCATGACACATGATACTGTGGGTATGCTCTGAAATGATAAAGCCGAGTGTTCGCATGAATCCGATATTCATTCGGTTGATTATGAGATGCGAGAATTAAACTCCAATTTTTCAGTCCAATCAAAGTTTATTAGTGACACCTTAAATATATATTTTTTTCATTTATTTGTTTCACAGTTTATTTTTTTTATACGTATATATATTTGGTTTTATAAATTCTTAAGCTCCCGCTGCGATTTGTTACAGGGGAAGTTTTTAATAGAAGGTTTCACTGTAGGGTATATATATTATATTATAATTACACATATATTATAAATAAAATATTATATAAAAGTATATAATAATTATATATAAAACCTGAAAAGAAAGGTTCATAAACTTCAAACGAATGAAGATCGTATCAGAAAATAAGGGGTTATTGGTTGAATTATTAAGAAATGTTTACTTTTACAAATATATGTAGTACAAGTTAGATTTCTAAACGATATATTTGTACTTTATGTCATTTCTATTATAAAATACTTGATTATAATTATGCTGATTATTAAAAATCACACATTTCACAAGCGCCTATTATATTTATGTCGGCAAATCGTACAAATCACACTTTGCTATTGAAATAGTTTTGGTTCTGTATGAACGTATTTTATACTAGACTAGCTATGCCCACAGTTCCGTCTGTTTGATTATTTATAGCCTATGTGTTATTCTGATGTATAAGCTATATTACTGTAAAGTTTCATGAAAATCCGTTCAGTAGTTTTAACGTGAAAGAGTAACAAACATCCATCCATACTCAAAGTTTTCTCCTTTATGATATATTAAATAAGATTTTTATACATATAATATATATGACGTTGTAAGAATGCAACTATATAAACCGGATGACAGTCGAAGCAAAATTTCTTGGTTGGTACAGAAAGAAATTTAAGTTAACTTCACCTTTAAATTAAAAGCCGATTTTGATGAGTGCAGTTGTACATGCACGGGGAGACGGTGGCGGTGAACATGAGCATTCGCAACAACAGCAATAAGGTGGTGAAGAAGATAAAGGCGAGCATCCAGCAGGGCGTCGACGTGATGCTGTTCCAGAACGGACAGTACCGGAACGTGGTCGCCAGCGTCGAGACCCAGTAAGAGGCACGCGTTTTAAACAGTCTGACGATATTGTTTTATGGATGATAATACTATGATACACTTGCTTGCGTTAATTGTTTACGTTAACGTAACTTTTTAGAAGTGGAACATGATATAGATGAGCATGAAGTCAGGCCAGTTAGCATGGAGTAACTGGAAATCAAGTCAATGTGGCTTGACAAATAGCAATTTACCACATTGGATTCCAGGGGGAATTGCGAGGTGGTCACAATACTCAAAATCCCCTTCTGTCTTATTTGAGATTTATTATAAGATTAGAAGAGATTTAAACATCGATAAATCGTTTAAGATCTATTCAATGAAGCGTATTGAACCTACTGAGGAAATTTTATTGGTAAATATGATTAAATCAAGGAAGCACCTAAATAACCCTGTTGAATAGATTGTGTAAGTTGAATAAGTGAATTTTGGTAACTTTACTTGATCATATCTATATACTATTAAAAAGAGCAACACACAATTTTCTTGCTCATTCTTCTTGTGATGAATCTGTATTCCGAATGAGTGGTAGAATCAAAATATGACTATATATATAAAGATTATTTCTATTTCTATAGTGGTCAAAAATATGAAATTGCATTTAGCCAACGCAAATGGTTCTGTGTATATGGATTGGTGTGTGTGTGCCAGGGACGGGTGCCCGCTGCAGCCGGGCTCCAACCTGCAGAAGGTTCTGCAGCTGACGCCGTCGCTGCGCAGCAACAGAGACAAGCGCGGCGTCGCCCTCGACGGACAACTCAAGCGCGCAGACGCCACCCTCGCCTCTACCACACTGTAACTCCACTTTTTTTTAACTATTCGATTCGATTCCTTTCGAGGTCCCGATTCGAGTCGCGGATTCCTCGCACGGCACAAGCATTTGTATTCATGAGTATGATTGTTTGTATCGCTCTGGGTGTTTTCTATGTATAATATGTACGTATTTAAAAGAAAAAAAATCTATGTATTTGTATCAGTATCTAGTACCCTTAACTTGGGTCTAGATGGCGCTGTGTGAATTGTCCTGAGAATATAATATTATATTCAGACCAATGTGTATTTATCTGAAAACTACATTTTTTAAGAGCATAGTAGGGACACACGAGCTGGCGGCTCCCCTGATGGTAAGTGATTACTGCCGTCCATGAATACCCGTAGCACCAGAGGACTTGCAAGTGTGTTGCCGGTTTTTTAAGAAGGAACAAGAAGCTGTTTTTTAAGGTTTCAATATCGTATCGGAAATACCATTGCTGGAAGCTACATATGTTCAGTTTTGATGAACTCTAAGCGTGGTGTAATCAATAATGTGCAGACTTCTGGATCCGGAGCAGCGCGACGCGTTCGGCATTGTGGTGAGCTACAGCGCCAAAGTGAAGCTGTACCTGGGCGCGCTCAGCGGGGAGCTGGTCGCAGAGCTGCCCTTCATACTCATGCACCCCAAGGTCAGCTGTGACATTCTCTTCATTTACCATATAGTAATTTTAAGTAGCAATAACGTGGTCAAGTGGAATGAGTAGTCATGCTCACTAAAATGTCCAGACAGGTGGCGGCGTGGTGGTACATACACTAAAATAACATTTTTTACAATTTTTGTCAGTCTGTCTGTTTGTTCCGACTAATCTCTGAAATGGTTGGACCGATTTTGACGGGACTTTTTTTGGCAAGTAGCTAATGTAATAAGGAGTAACTTAGGGTACTTTTATTTTAGAAAAATACAGTTATATTCCACGCGGACGAAGTGGCGTATATATATGTATATATCTACCATAGCATCTACCTTCAGCCCGAGCCGTCCAGTGGTTTGGGCTGTGCGTTGATAGATCACTACGTCAGTCACCTTTGAGTTATATATATATTTAGATTTGATATTCAAGTGTAACGTGACGTTATATTTACGACATGTAACAGGCATGAAGGACTTATGATGATTATTTTTGTGACAGGAGGGTCGCGCAAAGATGATCCACGCGGACAGCCAGGCTGACGTCGAGATGTTCCGACAGGACACCGTCCATCATCAAGAGAGCGTCGAGGTCTACTAGTTACCGTCCCGACTACCTACTAGTAGATTTTATTAAAATTATTATTTTCAATATGTTTACATGAAATATATAGGTGTAACCTGTTATATTTGAGATTATACAATTAATATTAATCAACCCATATTAAGAATATTACTCTTAATATATTCCTAAGTTCGTGAAAAACTTGTTTTAATAGTAAGGAATCCTATATCTATACATATAAATAAAATTTGAGTGTCTGTTTGTAAAATCACACAGATGCGAGCAGCGCAGGACCGATCGTCGTGAAGATCTTTGGAAAAGGCATTTGTCCAGCAGTAGACGTCTTCCTGGCTAAAATGATGATGATGACTATGAATTTTCAGTTATTTTCTTTCCCACCTGTGAAAGTTTGAATTTACCATTATCTATATACTATACATATAAATAAAATTAGAGTGTCTGTTTGTAATATTGAACTAACCGTTTTTTACTACATGCATATGATGATGAATCATGGTGCATACACCAAAATAAATTTTTTTACAATTTTTGTCTGTCTGTCTGTTTGTTTCGGCTAATGTCTGAAATGGCTGGACCGATTTTGACGAGACCTTTTTTGGCAGGTAGCTGATGTAATAAGGAGTAACTTAGGCTACTTTTATTTTAGAAGAATAAAGTTAAATTCCACGCGGACGAAGTCGCGGGAACAGCTAATATATAGATATATAAAATACGATAACAATAATATTGTGGGCGTCGAGTTGTTAACTGCCTCGACTTATTCGCAAAAGGTCACCGGTTCAAATCGGACATCAAAGATAGAAATTTATATGTCATTAATTTAATAAGGGAAAAAGGTAAACTACCTGCACGATCGACTGATTCTGTTCGAGATGCCTTCAATCGAAATATACAGTCGGTGATCCGCTTAGCACAGATTAAAGATGCCTATGATGATAATGAGGATATTGGAACAAGCATTCCTGGTGGTCACGACCAGCCTTCAGGAATCGACAAGGAAGAAAATTTTGTTTCCAGTGAAGAAAACACCGATTACGATACCAAAAATTAATCCGAGTGGCGGCAATAGGCTCACCAGTGTTGCCAGGTGTCCCGATTTGCGCGGGACGTCCCGATTTTCAGGGCTCTGGGGACGCGTCCCAATTTGTACCTGATCGGGACGATAAATGTCTGATTAAAACTAGACTGGACAAGACTGAGTACTTGTGATGTAAGATTAAATACGAGTACATATGTGGCAATCCTAAATGTCGTTTAACTAAAGTTAGTAATTCGTTTTATGGCAATTGCGTAAGGTATTACACAATATAAATAATAATAATAATAATCTCAGGACAATTCACACAGCGCCATCTAGTCCCAAGTTAAGCTAACTAAAGCTTGTGTTATGGGTACTAGATAACTGATACAAGTATAGACATACTTTTTTAAATATATACATATTATACATAGAAAACACCCAGACCGATACAAACAATCATACTCATGAATACAAATGTTTGTGCCGTGCGAGGAATCGAACCCGCGACCATCGGACGTAAAGCGGTGTGCTAGACCGCTAGACCACCGAAGTCGTTAAATAAATAAATATTAATATAAAATAAATATTCATATGCATGTAGTAAAAAACGGGTATTTCAATATTACAAACAGACACTCCAATTTTATTTACAGGTTACATATTACTATATATAGACATAAAATTTTTATACTTAACATGTTCCCAAAATAACTTCACATAAGGATATGGCGTTGACATTTCAGTTAACTGTTACCAGTCGAAATGTCAATTGAATGACGAAGTGCTTCCAGGAATAATAATATGTTTACGGTTTATATAAGTTTACTATTATATATATAACTACAATAATAAGAGGTCATCCCATAAATTTGGAGGGTTGAAAAAAGAAAAAAAATCACGAAATATCACAAGGGCTGATGGGGGGGGGGGGGGGGCTAGTAACACATCACGTGTATTTATTTTATGCCAATCAAAATATATCATCAATCAGAAATTATAAAAATTTTAAGATTCTTTGTAGGTACTAAAAATACACGTGATGTTGAGTGCGGGAGGGGGGTACTTTTGAACACTCATCACCAAGGGGGAGGGATTAAAAAAACCCACCCTTGCTGTATAAATTTTTTTTCATAAAGATATACATATTATACATAGAAAACACCAGACCGACACAAACAATCTTATTCATGAATATATGTTGAGGAATCGAACCCGCGACCATCGGAAAGTAAAGCGGTGTGCGACCGACTAGACCACCGAAGTCGTCGTTTTCTATGTACTTATATATTTTTTTTTGTGGATGATAATGGAATGGTGCACCCGCCTGCGCTAACGGTTTACGCTGGCGGGGCACCAGTGGAGGATGATAAGATGAGCATGAAGTCAGGTCAGTTAGCACATCGTGACAAATTTACCGGAAATTTATCACGATAGTTTCCAGGGGGTACCACGTGGAGGTCGACCTGACATGGTACATTGCTAGCAATGGGATCATTAGTCCACATTACTAATAATCCCCGACCCCTTACTACCTATATTAAACATGTATTTACAAAAACTGTATCTAAATATACCAGTCAGGTTCCTAGTACCTATAACACAAGCTTTGCTTAGCTTGGGACTAGATGGCGCTGTGTGAATTGTCCTGAGATATTATTATCATTACATAGTATAACACAAAGTCGCTGTCGCTGTCTGTCCGTCCCTATGTATGTTTAAATCTTTAAAACTACGCAACGCATTTTGAAGCGGTTTTTTTAATAGATAGAGTGATTCAAGAGGAAGGTGTATAATACATGTACACCCGTGCGAAGCCGGGGCGTGTAGCTGGTAACTAATAATGTGTGGTGAGTACACATTACTCAACACATAACGCAAAAGTTTAAAAATAAACATTATAAAATTGATTTCCTATTCTGGATTTAGCCTTGCAATGGTGATGTCGCGTCGTGCCAGACGAGACTACTGAAGTAAGGTAGCGCTAAAGCTTCTGTGTTTGATACAAACATTTGTGATATCTGAAAGTTGCTGTTACGTGTACGTTGGCTGACAATTGAAGTGGTTTGCGACAGCGGGATACGACAGTACTGACAGTTACCGTCATAGTGTTTGCCGCGACACTCGTGGCTCACGTGGCGTGACATCCCGAGCGAGACTGAGCGAGACACTCGTGTATGTTGTTAGAAATAAACTTGATTTAAATAAACACAATACCTATGTAAATATATCAGATACTAGCTACTTGCCCCGGCTTCGCACGGGTGTACATCTATTATATATATATATAAACCTTTCTCTAGAATAGGGATGGGCAGTGGGAAAAAACCCAACGTATTTATTGAATTATGACAATAAACAACGTTAGATTACGTCTAACTAGTAGTAATAGTACTTAAATAGTACGTACTATTTGATATATATATATATGTATCTATAATTCTACACATTTACCTACGTGTTACATATGGTAAATATGAAAAAGCCCGAATATTATCCCATTCGGGAATTTTCCCCGGGTTTTTTCCCTATTTTTCCCCATATTGGGGTTTTATCCGGGCAAAATCCCATCTCTATTCAAGAATCACTCTATGTTTTTAAAAAAAACAGCTTCAAAATTCGTTGTTTAGTTTTAAAGATTAAAGCATACATAGGGACAGACAGCGACAGCGACTTTATTTTATACTACGTAATAATAGTGCAAGAATAAAAAAAAACTAAATATTCATGTAGGTCTATCATACAGCCTCTTATGATATCTTAAATCTACCATCAGTTTTGAGTGCTCTCGAGCAAAGTAAGTATTAATACAGCCACTTTGTTTTATATTATGTAATGATTTAAACAGATTTATTTGTACTGGAAATAATAGGATATTAGTTAAACACAACATTTACAGTTTTATAGAAAATCTATCTGTACATCTCATCTTTAAATATTCAAAAACTAATCTGACCTTCGTTGTATCGTTGGTAGCAAGTATTTTTTTTTTATGGATGATAATGGGATGGTGTTCCCGCCTGCGCTAACGGTTTACGCTGGCGGGGCACCAGTGGAGGATAATAAGATGAGCATGAGGTCAGTTAACCCATTGTGACAAATTCACCAGGAATTTATCACGATGGTTTCCAGGGGGAACCGCGTGGAGGTCAACCTGACATGGTACATTGTTAGTAATGGGGTCATGAGTCCACATTACGAACAATCCCCTTATTAGCCCCCGGTAGCCCCCCCTAGCCCCCGGTATTAAGTCGAATCTGTTTCTGTAGGCCGCATTCCACGGCATTACTCGCCCAAAGAAATGGTACATTTCCGCGCGTGTTCCGCGGCTCTGCGCTAATTCCGCGATGATTAGTCCGGATTCAAATGTGGGACCATCACACTTTACGACTGTTAGCGTACACGAGACGGCCCTCTGATGTTTCAGCTTAAAACATCCGCGATGTACTTCAGTTTTTATGATTACTTGGAATCAAGCAGAACATTACTGAATTAGAAAGTTCTTGCAAATGGTAAATTTATCCAATCTTTTACTAGAGAGCACTTATTTAAAGAAATTTTAATCTAACTGGAGATTTTCAAACTTTTACGCCCAGTTTCTAATGTAATTCAAATTCAAATTCAAATTCAAAAATCATTTATTCATGTAGGACATTTTAGCCGCTTATGAACGTCTAATTTTTACATTATAATATTTTTTCCCTACCGTCCAGTTCGGTATATAGATCCAATTGAGAAGAACTGGCAAGAAACTCAATTGAATTACTTTTTTTTTTTTTTAATTTTTAATGATTTTTAATGAAAGTAAAGTTGTAAAAGGGTTAGCAATAAGTCATATAAGGACGCAGATTCGGGAGGAAACGGTTCTGAAATGGCAATCCAGGTATACCAATTCGGACACCGGAAGAATAACAAAAATTTTCTTCCCGGACGCTAAAAGAGCATGTAAAACATAAAAAAAATACAACTGGACTCAGTAACAACACAAATATTAACTGGACATGGTGGTCAGTATCTCCAAAGATTCAAACTCAAGGATAGACCGAGTTGTGTGTGTGACCTGAGAAATCTGAGGATATTCCACACATCCTACTTAAATGACAAATGTAT